GCCAACCTTATGACGTGTGAACGGTCACCTTCTCGACCTTGGGTTCTCCTTCACCAGCTTTCCTGTCCCTTCCTGCCTTCTCATCCTTACCCCTGGACCGGTGTGCCTGTTTAGTTTTGTTTTGTATTATGGACCTGTTTAATCTTTGGCTGAAGGGAGAAGCTCAGGAATGACTTCAGTACCGAGTTTAAAAGGATGTCCGGGGGTCATACCCTTGGAGTTTCTCCAGTCTCTGTCAGCAGTCCATTTTCTGATACATGCATAGCATTTGCCAAGTCCTTCCGCTTTTTCACAATAATTGCCAACTCTTCACTTTCTTTTAATCTTGTGTTTAAACTCACTTCTTTGAATACCGTACTGGTGGCTCAAGTGGGGAGAATTGTACCCATAACTCAGTTTAAAGAACCGTCAACTCACAGCCAACCTAGTTTGATTTATACACTACTTTTTCTCCTTCAGGTTATTTTGAAGTCAATCTTAGACATTTTATCATTCGTCCATAAGTATTTCAATATGTATCTCCAACACTAAGGGCTCCTTTTTGTAGCTGTAATCACATTATCATTATATAATATCCCAAAAATTGAAAAGTAATTCCTTAACAGTGGTGCAGACGGTTAAAGCACTCAGCAACTAACCTAAAGGTTAGAGGTTTGAGTCCACCCAGAGGTGCCTCCAAAGAAAGACTTGGTAACCTGCTTCCAAAAAATTAGTCCTTGAAAACACTATGAAGCACAGTTCTACTCTGATACACACAGGGTTGCCGTGAGTTGGAACCAACTCTGTGGCAACTGGTTTTATCAAATATCCACTCAGTGTTCAAATTTTCTTAGCTGGCTGAAAGTCTGGAGAGAGAGAGTTTGTGTGTTTACAAGTTGTTTAATCAGGATTTAGATAAGGTTTATATTTTGCAAATAGTTGTTATGACCCTTAAATCTCTTTAAATCTATAGGTTCCTTTCCATGTGTCTGTCTACCTCTGTCTCTTTCTTTAATTACAATTTATTTGTTGAAGAAAGTAGGTTGTTTGTCCTGTAGAGTTTCTAATGTTCTGAATTTTGGTGATTGAATCCCCATGGTAACGTTGAACGTGTTCCTCTGTTGCATTTCTTTTAACTTGCTAGTTAGATAGAGGCTTAGTCTGATTCTTTTGTTTTGGTAAGCGTGCTCCATAAGTGGTGTTTTTTGTGTCTATTAAGAAGCACAGAATAACTCTGGTTATCTCTCTTCTTTTGCATATTCACATCTATTTATAATTATTTCCTAGACCCATAATTTGATTTGAGATTGTAATTTATATATTTATTTGCAATTTATTGAAAATATTCTGAATCTGTCATTCCTTCTTCATTTAGTAGCGAGAAAATGAAATTTTCCCTCAACACTCATTTGGTCACCCTGAGATGCAGTTTGTCCAGAAAAAGCAGGATAAGTGTTAAATTCTTTCCCTTGATTTACCAATTTTCAAAATAAAGAGTTGGTTCCCTAGCATCCTCAAAAGGTGACTAATGAGGTTTGT